CTCTTCCACTTTTGAACCTTCTGAATCAGTTCCAGAGATAAATGTAAAATCTGTTGTGAAAGAAAATCCACCAATAATCTGCAGCATGAGTAAAAGAATAAGAAGTACATATGATAGTAAAACCATTTCAAGGATAGTTAAAGGATAATATGGGAAGGGATCTACTTAAAGTAGGAGTCCCAGACACTTACCTGAAAAACTAAAACATTTGGAGAATCATCTGATGAGTCGGATAGCAGCAGTCGATCTTGTTTTCTTATCTACTAAGACATGCACAAAAGCGGAGATATCAAGGCAAAACCCAAAATAAATAAATAACTTCCATAATCACATGCTGAGAATTACATGAAAATTATATCATCAGATAAATTGAATTGAAATACCATAACATACTTGAGATGCAAGATTTTCCTCAACACGATCAGACAAATTGTGAAAGTGTGGAGTGTGAAATCCAGAATAATGCAGCTCCAAATCATCCTAAAAGAGAAAAAAACATAGGAAAGTGAATAACCGGGCATAAATTACAGACAGTCAACATTAAGGCAAGAGAGAAAATGGTTTGTACTGGTTAATTAAAGGTCAAAGGAAAAAAGGGTCTGGAAATTATGATCTACGTAGTTAAAATACCAAATAAGGGCATGTTACATGTTTGCTATAAAATGCAGAGGTTCATAGGTTTATCATATTCTTGAACTGTTTCAAAGAAGGAAACATTGAAACATTAACTGTGAACTTTTCATAAAGGAAGTGTAATATAACTGTATGATTAACTAACCATAAACCCCAAAAAATGTAGCACTGGTAACAGAGTTTTTAATATTAGTATTCAACCATATCACCGTATCCTAGCATTACCATTGATTTTAAATGTAGCTGCCAATCTCCAATGTCGGCTCGAGAGCCAGATGCCAGCAAAGAATCCCCACGAATGTTCAAGTTTTTTCTACTTAAATTTAGAGCATTACCACCTTCATCAGCCAAATAGAAGAAAAGCTGGGCACCTCTCCCAAATTCTTCATTCCACTTGGACCTGAGGTTGGACCACAAGAAAAATGCCACTCAATAAATAAAAGTCACTGGAGCAACACCAAAATTAAGAACGATAATAAACTTAAGGTGGAAAATTAAGAACAATGTTGTTATGTTGTGTGTTACCACTTATCACGACTTCATGAAATAAATCATGCCAAAAGCTAAAAGTGAATTAAAATTAACCAGGGTGTCATGAGTTCATCTTCTCTGACTGGCTTACTGCAAGAGACCTGCTAGTATATACTTTGCTATAAGGAAAAGCTACAAGCAAATTTGTTTTGCCTCAATACACATATGAAAGTGAATTGAAGTTGATAACATCACTCACTTATCAGCTTGCACATTAATCTGAACTGCCCAATCCCCTCCATAGCCACTGCCTTCCTCTTTTGATTTTAAAAATCCGGTATTCAAGGTCAAGCCATGGTCAACCAGCACTTGATTTCCAAAATCACGTCCATTGTGCTTTGTCCAACCATAACTACTTAGGTCATCCTCATGTCTGCAAACATGCCGCAAATGATATCTACCGTCCTTCACAACAATCCACATTAATCCAGCAATCAAAGACTTTGGAGTCCTGAAATACAAACAACACCCAACCAAAAAACCAAAGTGAGCACACTTACTTGCTGAGTCAAATATTGTTGACCACTTTCTGTATGATGCACAGTTTGCATGCATAAATCAGTCAAATTTCATACAACTAGTATTCAGTATAATTTGAGATTGGATTACATTTCAATAATTGATTACCGTTATAATTAGTTATGAAAATGAGTTTAATAATTTGTTATATTACATGAAAGTAATTTTAAAATAATTTTTTATATTTGAATTGTTTTAAATTTATTTTATATTAAAATAATTTTTTGGGGGGTGTGCATACTATAAATATTTGTAATGGTTAGTTTTTTAAAATGATAATTGTTGAAAATAAAATAGGAAAAACAAAGGGCCAGTTTGATTGTTAAAAAAGTTATTTTTTTTTTCATTTTTAATTACAAAAATATTATCATGTTTTTATTTTATTTGTAAACATTTATAGAAGAATCAGTAAAAATAATTAAAAAGTGGAAATAAAATAAAAACAGAGTTTCGTTGAAAATAACTTTTAACCTTACATTCTAAAATTTTGCATATGATAGGAAGAAAAAAAACCATTTAAATATTTTTGTCAAACACACTAGATTTTCTTTGAAAATATGTTTTAACCTTAAAAAAAAATTTAAAAAAAAAGAAAGAAAAACTTCTCCACAATTAGTCATATACTCATATCCAAGCACGCACTGAATCTGATTTCTGATTCTAACAAAATGAAGATGGAAGAAAAAAAATAATAACGATGTATTTAAGTTAAATTAACCAATTTTTAAACATCGGGCTTTTAGCCCCTTTATATCATTAAAAAAAAAAACCAATTTTTAAACATAAATCATGAATAACTATTTTGCACAAGAATAACTTTTAAGAATTTTTTCTTTGATGAGAGTTTTTAAAAATTCCTTAAACTGTAAATCTAATTCGATTTTTATTTATTATAATTATTTATAAATTAAAATTTAATATTTTAAAATAAATTATTAAAAAATAATAATCTTAAACTATAGTATAAATTATTTATCATAAATATAA